GGGCAGACTGGTCCAGTCGGCTCCCACGTCAGATAAACACTGGAGGCAGTCGGCTTATTCCAACGGTGCACGTCCACGGTACACACCCTTGAACAAACGCCTGAGAAGAACACTGTCGGATCTCAGAAGCCGACGCCACACCAGAAAAGGTCCCTCCCACCTGGGAAGCAGAATATGCCATTAAATCTCCCAAGCAAAAATAGGAAAAAACCCCACTTCACAGTCCACTGAACTTCATATAAATTCTGAACCGGCAATATTAACAGCGTCTATGTACGACTCCTACACACAAGCCGAGCCTAACCGGCAATCACAACCAGGACACTAACAACTCCTCACCTCATCCACGGAAGCCAACGAACCAAATGGCCAGCCTAAAAGCGCTCAGCCCGCTCGTGACCTCGCGGCAGATTCGTTTAGAGAACACCTGCGTGTCAAACCTCTACAGAGGCATCGCTCGCTTCAGGTGACGATGCGATAGCCTTATCTACTTTCACTGCACATCTCCGTACCGACTATGGTAAGAAGCAAATTCGTGTCTTTAAGGATGGAGGCTGTCAGCGATCATTTATTAAAACTTCTTTGGCAGATAGTCTTAACTTAACTTAAGTTGCCAGTTATTTCATATAATGTATATTAAGAATCCATCGCTCTAACTCTAGCCGAACCTTGGTAATCTTGGTACTTGTTTGAGACATAGCAGTCCCAGGCCTCGATGGATCACCGCCTCTGATTATCGTTCATCCACCCTCATTTGGGCCACCTGATGCACGATGCATGTTGCTTGCTTCTCGCCGCTGGTAGTGTTGCAGGGGAGGTCGATCTGGGATTGTGCTCAGGAAAACGTCTAGTTGTCTCTCGAAGGTCTCCAGGGTGAACTCCCTTCTCTTAATTGGTAGGACGTTGAACAGCCTTGGCCCTGCCACGGAAAGTGATCCTTCCCGCAACCCATTCGTACCAAAATTTTCAAAATTTCATTTGATGCCTAATGAAAAGGTATTCAACATTGATGCCATTTGCTTAGATGGAATAAACACGCAATTTTCTGTAGCCTGTATTTCGTCAGTTGTTGCAGCATTTCAGGCTGCTGGCTACCGTCTAACTGACAGTGCGTTTGTTCATTCTAACGCCACAGAAGTTTCCGATATGGATTTGATAAATAAATAAATACCGAGATAAATTACCGAGGGCATTTTTCATCTCTCTCCAACCCGGACTACCTTCTGTGGATTAAGGAGGTGGCCTTCGGCGAAAATTGAGCACAAAGGAAAAAGCCTTTTATCAGAATATGGAGAATAATTTCAAGATGTTCTTCAGTTCGTAACATTGAGCAATGCATTAAATATTTAAGTACATCTCATTGAAACATTTACATGATTCAAAATAAAGATAGAACTGTTATTACCAAAATTAACTGAGCAACAGAATTTAATTTGGGCTTCTTGAAGAGCACTTCAATAACGATAAAGAAAATTGGTAATTAACGATATGTTAACGTATTTAAATTTTCAGTGTACGCGTATTTACGTTTTGTACGAGAAAGTATCGCTTGTTTGCCGTGGCATGCGTTTCGTAATCGAATTTCCATTATTTCTTATATAGTGCTTTGTGCAATTCTCGTGTTTAGTGTGATCACTGGCAAAGTTTTGGTTCTGTCTCTTATACACATCTAGATGTGTATAAGAGACAGGTGTTGAGCGTTTGATGGTATAAGTGTTGAGTGTTTGATGGTATAAGTGTTGAGTGTTTGATGGTATAAGTGTTGAGTGTTTGATGGTATAAGTGTTGAGTGTTTGATGGTATAAGTGTTGAGTGTTTGATGGTATAAGTGTTGAGTGTTTGATGGTATAAGTGTAGAGTGTNAAAAAAGCGTGTAATGAAAAAATCGCGACAATGATAATACAAAAAGCAACAGAGCAACGAACTTTTGAAGGTTTAATAGAAACTAAACTTTTGCAGATTTCGGTATTTTTATACTTCCTCCGTGTAAATCGTCTTAGCTTTTTTCCATTTAATTTTTTAAATTGCATGTATGAGCTGACATCAGCTATTATCTATAGGTTACTGACCGAACTGGTTTTTTAATATCCGAGATCGTTGCAAATGCAAACGATAGACTTCAAATAACTTTTAGGGAAAATTAAGTCACATGGAGCAAAACCAAGAGTTAATTTATCAAATAAGATCCTCTCTGTGGAGTGAGGCGGCCATTCATATATATATAAGTGTACCTAAAATAATTAAATCGGCGCCCGAACTGTGAGGACCGAAGCACTATTTAGTTATTTTATTGGAAACCATATGAAGTAAACATTGGGTATATATTTTGTACGAAAAATTCTCCAGACCGGCATTGAGCTAATTCACCACGACAGTGTGCTCGTTATATTGAAAAAAATAAACATCGCAACTGACTAAAGTGTACACCAAACGTTAATATGCTCACAATAAATCGTCTCTTTGGTAAAGTTTTCGTGGATTTTCAGCGCTTCAATAGTGCAGAATATGTTCGTTGACGCAGCCGGCGACCTAGAGTCGTTGAAATGTTTCAAGCGAAGCTTCACCCGATGCTTTGTGCTCTGCTCCGCTCTCGCAATATAACATAACATAGCATAACATAAGTGACACAACATAGCAATGTCGGCGCTGAAGAGTAGGCCTGATGTGGCCTATCGCCGATTCTTACTTTTCGTGACTTGTTCACAGAATATCTAAAATCGTGTCATTCGACAGGATGTTTTCAGGACTGACGAGAGTTTGAAATAGCTACTTGACTTCCACCGGGTTTGGTATGGTGCTAGGAAATTCAAGTCTGAACCTATATTTTCCCATAACTTTATCTAGTCTGTTCTTGAATGCGTTCATACTCGAAGCGCCAACGACGTAATTGGGGAGGCTGTTCCACATGTCGGTGACAGCTCAGTAACCCGCTTGGCGTGGTATGAGGAGGTGCGCATGTAGTCGCTCCCACCATCCTTGAGTGGAATCAAGCTCCAGAAACGTTTAGTTTTTTTCGTATCCTTGCTACCTTGAGTGCCTATTACGATGCGGACGGGACTTTGTCGCGCTCTCCTGAACATTCACACTTATTGTCACGGCAAACCTATCTCCTACTAGTGCCATACTTTTAAAACTTGCTAAGTGAACGTAAGTACTTACGCTCTATTTTCTTGTCTATGATTGGTGGATTTTGCTTGAAAGGCCATCAATGATTGGCTGATGAACTTACGATCTCTTAACTTTTTTTGAAGGTATAGGCCCTAGAGTTTTGAAGCTACAGCGATGAGACATATACCATTCGATTTGTAAAGACCATACCTATCGAGTAACAAAGCCCCTTTTTAGATTTTTGCATAGTTTTGATTCAAAAAGAGGAGGGGAGGGGGGAAAATTTGAAGAAAATGAAAAGAAAACCGAAAAATGTGTGTAAAAAAATTAAGGCAAAAATAAACAATCGGGCTTCGTTACTCGATTGGTATGGTTTTTACGCATCGAATGATAAGCGTTTCAATGTTGTAGCTTGAAAACCCTAGGAGGAGATAGATTTCTACAGTACCCCCTTTTTTGTTTGTTTTCTATAAATTTCACGTTTTTTATTAATTTTTCGAAAAAATCATGCGAACAAAATGTTCTTGTACTTGTATTTTGGTTTTACATATATGAGTGATGTTTCAGAAAGATCCGTTAGTAAATGTGGAAGTTTTCCAGGAGGGTATACCCCTGTCTCTTATACACATCTAGATGTGTATAAGAGACAGGNCAGTAATTTTGCATGATGCAAGAAAGCACAATACTGATCTACCAACAGAGATTATGTATTCAATTCTATTTTGCTTATGTGAAGTTGAGGACTTCCTCGTCCCTGGATATGCCTATGTGCCATCTTCGTCGCCCATCGTCTCTTAAGCAGTCAATAGTCAGGTCACCTCACCGCCATAGAACCTTGAATAACGTTGATCGTTACTACCGTGCACCTGCCCTCATTTGAGCCTGATGATGCAAAATGATGTTGATTGTTGAAAGCAAAAGGGCATAGACGGATGATCCGGGATCGCGCTCAAAACGCATCCAGTCGTCTCTTGAATGTCTCCAGGAAGAATTTCCTCCCTTCCTCTCAGTATAATCGGCAAGTCATTGCAGCAATCTTTTGATGATACATCAGTGCATTCACAAACGACTCATAGATTAGCTTCTGACTGTGTGGTGAACTTCTTCCTTTCAAATTCATTGTGAATTCCGATGAACCGTCTAAACTTTTTGCGGCTTCTACGATACATACGTTGAGTATAATTTAATGTCTGGTTCTTTCATTAACTAAAATTGAGATTGTTCCAAAAATTTCGTAGTTGCACTTGAGTCCCACTGAAGTTACAGTCGCCGAAAGGCCTCTTACAGCTCGCACACATTGTGCGAAGCGCATAAGAGCTAAACAAACCAACGCGACGATCGTTTCAGCTCCTACCTAACACAAAATAATTTAGTAGTGAGCTATTTTTTAGCAGCAAGAGGCATTCACTATTAATCAACACTCCTCATCGCAGGAGGCAATGGCAGTCCCATCCTGCAGGAAGCATCGGTGACGGTGTTCCCATCAGAGGTCTGCAACGCGTCCTACTCGAAGCTCCATTTCTACTCCACCAAGTGGCCGCGAGGCATCGCGGAGGACACTTTCCTCTGTGCTGGACAGCCTCTCGGCGGGGTGGACACTTGCCAGGTACACTTACTTATTATTTAATCAGTATACTATTGTCATTAAAACCTACTAATTACAATGGAGAAAATACTAAGAAGGAATAATAATATTGTCACATTATCGCAATAATAACACTATAAAAGAGTAGCCCTTAATTGTCTGAATAATTGCTCTGGCTACTAGGACTTCACCCTCCCGTTGTTATTGTGATATTTGCTGATATTAATGAAGATCAAATTGAGTCACTGGTCATACGCACCCTGAAACTACCGCAAGCACCGTTCACCGCAGTCATCAGTCGTGACTGCATGGCAAAAGCTTTTGACTCTCCGCGGGGAGCGTGGCCGTGCACCACCAATTTTGTACACCAATAAGCCCTTTATTGCCGGGAGATCCTGCACCACTAACCTCTTGTCGACTCTGAACAAATGGACCCGCCTGCTGGACGAAAGAGAGCCAGTAGACGCAGTGTACCTCGATTTTGCCAAGGCATTTGACAGTGTCCCACATGAGCGGTTGTTGAGTCCGTTGAGAAGATCTGATTAAAAGGCCAGTCTAGTCAAGAAAAGCACAAGAATCGGCGACAGGCCTATTCAGGCCTACTCTTCAATGCCGAAGATACTATACTATACTATACTAAATAATGGAAATTCGATTGAAAAACGCATGCCACGGCAAACAAGCGATACTTTCTCGTACAAAACGTAAATACACGTGCGCTGAAAATTTAAATACGTTAATAAATCATTAATTACCTATTTTCTTTGTCGTTATTGGAGGGCTCTTCAAGGAAGCTCAAATTAAATTCTGTTACTCAGTTAATTTTGTTAATAAAAGTTCTATCTTTAATTTAAATCATGTAAATGTTTATATGAGATGTACATAAATATTTAATGCATTGCCCAGTGGTACGAACTGAAGAACATCTTAAAAATATTTCCATATTCTGATATAAGGCTTCATCCTTTGTGCTCAATTTTCGCCGAAGGCCACCTCCTTAATCCACTGAAGGTAGTCTGGGTTGGAGAGAGGCACGTACAAGCCTGGGAAGTCTTCAAGTCCACAACCGTAGCCCGTTGACACAACGCCCACCTGCATGAAGTCTCTGAACTGTTGATTAAAACGATTGTATACCAGAGGACCACCGGAGTCACCCTGCTCAACAACAGAACTTTCTTATTACCATCAATAGAATATAAAAGAGAGCCCCATTTCTTGAAGATTATAGAACCAAGGGCAATTGAATAGTGTTTCTCTAAGAAATCAGAAACTTACGCTATGAAAAGAGACATATAAATTTCATAAAAAAATAGAGTACTTTTTAGCTAAGTGACAGCATCCATAGTCAATTACAAGGAATAAAAACATCAAAAGAAATGAGTGAGACTTTGTCCAAATAGTAATGCACTTTTGCCCTTGGGTGGATCATACTGACCTAATTTAGCCTGGCAAAATCAAATCGTCGCGAATAGTGCAACGTTCAATCTCTGGTCATACTATGGGCAAGAAAATGTCACTATTTCTACAATGCAACCCATCCATTTCTCTTAGTGAATTAAAAGTAATCAAAGTGGTGTGAGTAATTGTGCAATCAATTTAGAATTGGAATAGTAAGAAATAAATGAAGAATTAGTTGTAATTGTAGAGGCTGTTTAAGCTAGCAAGCACCTGGCAAGTGTCCGCGCCCCCATGAGGCTGGCCAGCACAAAGGAAAGTGTCCTCCGCGATGCCGCGCGGCCACCTGGCGGAGTAGAAAGGAAGCTTCGAGTAGGACGCGTTGCAGACCTCTGATGGGAACACCGTCACCGATGCTTCCTGCAGGATGGGACTGCCATCGCCTCCTGCGACGAGGAGTGTTAATGGTAATGTGTATTGTTGCTACAAGTTGTTGATGTACCAAGTTGGAGTCTTCAGTTGCCAATGGCGTGCTACAAACTAGTTTATTTGTTCATATATTTTCCTTTAAATGTGGGTCAAATGTCAGGTACACTTCAACTTCCAGAACCTCGTTGGGACCAACCACTGTGTATAATTTTTGCTCAAATTTTGGGAAAGTTATGAGTTGCACAGAAAACCAGTAGTCCTAGTTGCCCAATTCTGCAGGAGGCAGATGGACGATGCTGATTTATCGGCTATATGATTCTGCTTTGGACCATTACGATGCTGATTGTCGCGGTTCCCGAATGCTGAATTTGCAAGATTCCGCGAACAAAAACCTGCCAAGAAGTTGCTGAAAATACGCTCATTGCGCCGTTCTCACTAGCGTAGGGGGAAGTTGAGTCATACAAAGAGGCAGAAAGTATTTGTTATGAGTCGAATCCCAAGATGAAACATTCTCTGTGCTCTTCCAGATCAAAATACGAAACTAAGAAGAAAGGAAAGAACTAGTGAGCCGTGACATTAGGCCACACACTCCAGTAGTGCAAGAGAAGCAATTGTAAACATCACACATCAAATTCATCTATAAAAGCATAAATTTCTCTCGCGACTGTTTGATTTAAAGCGAACACTGCGGTGGTATAGAGCCACTCGATACTCAAATACGTAGATTGAAGCTGTGCGCCAAGTCTACGACTCACCGACGACTGTGGCACCCCAGCCTGTGATGGTGGCGTTTTCGTGATGGAGGTTATGTAAAGCTTCATCTCCCCACGGCAGACAAATGGGTATTACGCCCTCCTGAGTTCAATTTTCGTGAATAAGCTCCAACGTTCCCGAAATAAGTGGTAATTTTGAAACGAAGTAAATTTTTAGCTTATTTGTGTAAGTCAGGCTTTGGAGTGGTACGATCATGAAAAAATATCAAACAAAGCCCCGACATGCAAGATGATATCAAAGACGAAAAACAATCGCAAATAATTTAAAGAGTATGAAAATCCTAACTAAATTGACCATATTTCAATCGAAAATGTTTTCCTAGAACAGCTCTCTCATAAATTAGAAAATTAAACAATTTTCGAAAATTACCAGAAAAATAGTACAACTAAATTATACAGCAACGATTACAAAATATATGGTCCAATGAAGACGAAGTAACGTAAAAACCTATCAATTAAAAATGTTTTGCGCATAAAAAATATTGGTGATATTTAGACAAAGGTTCCTTTCAAAAGTACGCACAGTTTTCAAAATCCTAGAATATGAATCATCTTAAGTGTAAGCTGAAATTTAAAGTAATTTTCGAATGCAGACGCGTCGCATTGTTCGACGTGAATGAGCACTGATGAATGACGAGGGTGCGTAAGTAAGTTTCTAGATTACAAACCAGCGGAAATTTTTACGCCTCACCAGTCACTGTGGCGACATTAACAATAATAATAATACATTACAATCACAATATAATCCAATCGATTTATAGAACAAGGAAAAGCTGAGACTAACCAAGTCAATAATACCAAATAATTAACACAAATGGTTCAAGCAGTGATTATGCAAGACGTCTGTACCCTCATCATTTGTAAATTATTCAACAGCAAAAGTATACTTCATATAGAAAATAACAATGGCGTGTCCTTCGCAAGGTACGAATGTGACATACGTTTGAAAATAATTTATCTGTGCATTAGTGGCTGCACTAAACCTGCTTCTCATAATATGCCTGAACTAGCTCATATTTATTCATATTTATAGATCATACTGGAGCCAAGTATTTATAGGTTTTAGAGAAGTTAAAACTGTGAAGCCGGTCTGCCAGAGAGACGATGTGGCATAAAAAGCTATATTTCTTTGGATACGAGCGCTTGCTTATCAGTATCCACAATGCCAGTATAATACGCATCAGTAACGCATGTTAATGAATTTAGCAAACCTTCAATTATTTATCTACTCAAAACTCTGAAAAGTACGGGTAAATACACAGCGTATCATGTTCTGCAGAGTGATCGTTTTTAGCAGTGAGCATCTTTTGACAATAAAGAGTTTCCAATTATAGACGGGAAATGAATAGACAAAAATTGCTGACTGGCAAATAAATGCGAAGTAGTAACAACGAGCGATTCGTTACTGAGCAATTCTTGAATAGTTTTGGGGGCAGGTAAATAAGATGGGGTGCAGTACATCATGAATTTATATTAAATAGAATATATTGGAGGAGTTAGCAAGCTTGACAAATAATTTAATTTTGTTGTCGAAAATTTCATCAGCTTCTGTACCGGGAGCAAGTCTAACCACGATTATATGTGACAAAAGCTTCTTTGGTTTGTTGTCAGTTGCATGCTATCTTGTGCCAAAAAATATTGTTCGTGTAACAATTCATGCAACCAAAATGATTATAAGGGACAAATTTTGCTCATTATTCCATTTTAATTTTTTTTTTATTTTGATCAAATTAAAAAAAGGGCAATATTTTGTTTTGTCGATGGCTAACATGCTATGCAGTATGTAGCCAGTGAAGAAGTGCATGGACCTTTTATCTCCTTGGGAGGATAACCAAACAGGCAATCACTGGCCAAAACTGAGGAAATTTTGAGTAAATCGGGTATTAGGCAATCTTATCTGGCATAATCATAACTCAATTGAGGTGTGCATACGATATCTTCACATACCATCCACGGATGTCTGTTTTCAGGGGCGTTGAATCCCTCAACCAACCCAGCGTCAGTGACGGAGAACGGAGGTTCGGTGACACTGAACGAAGGTTCTTTGTCATCATCGGAGGGAGGTGCTTCCAATGACCTCTTCTCTCTCTGGAAAATATGATAGGTTTTACTCGGAGAATCATTCATAGCGACACAATTAAGAGATGAACTAATTTTTTTTCACCGCTAATTGTATCGGGGAAATTTGTCAACCCAACACAGGGACGAACTTGTGGCATGAGACATCATGCGGAATGCGAAAGACCGACAAAGCACCATTCTAAAAGCTGCTTTCAAAAAATGCAAGATTAATTAGGATAATTTGGTACGTCACCACGAGTTCTATTTTGAAGGCGACTACTTTGAAGTCTGACTTCCAAATCAATAAATATGTTTATGCCGACCAGTGGCTTAACACTTTTTGAAAACGGATCGTAGTCAAATTTTCAATTAGTTTGAACAATTCAACGAAACATTAATGATATCTGGAAAATTTTTGTTGAACACAAACTGACATAGAGTTGAATAAATTTAAATTGAATGGAACTAAAAATTTTTTTCATCGTTTAAGTTTCATGTTAAGGATTGAACTGAAATGTCTCGAAATGTATTTTGAATTCAGGAAAAAAATATGAATTCAGGAAAAGTATTGAACTTCAATTGAACCCCAAGCACCCTTCACAAATCGAATCATGCGTATAGTACCTAACATCCACTTGTCTTTGTATCATCTTCTGTCCTTTTTGGTCTTCATGTGCCATCACAAGGTGATGGCTTTTTCCTAATGACACTGTACTGCTACTATTACCAAACTTAACTCGAGTACAGTTGCTACAGTTGCAGTCGAGTTCAGTTGCTATGTCTTTGCGGTAAACAATTAATGGAACAAGTGTCCTTGTAGCAAACAGTTTGTGTACTATTGCTATATGCGGCCTGATAACGTGACTAGCTCCACCTGACATGTAATTGGTTAACATGCACCGAAACTTCACTTACTTTCCAGGGCGAAGTTTCCTCCTCTGGGACCTCTCTTCGGACGAAATATATTTTGCCTTCTATCAACGGACTAAGTACACCGCAGTCTGCGGCGCGTACCGGAGGCCATAGACAATAGTTGTTTAGTGAATAGAGTATTTTCACAGAGTTTTGAAAACATAATCACTAGTACATCATGCACATTATAAAAAAATTGTTGAAAATCTTTTTGGCAACAAGCAACATTTGTGTGAAAAAATATAGCTTTAAAAGACCAATTAACGTTCAAACTATAAGTCTCATTATTTATGCTGTTGGAAATTGAAAAATTTGTAATTCATTTCTTTCGTTCTAGGTTACTTTATTTTGTTATTCACCTTTTCTAAAATTGTCTTGTACCCGCATAATTAAATATTTTTAGAATCGTAGCAGAACGATATAATACAAATGATGATAAAAAGTCTCAAATCTTCCTATGAAAGCCTGGTAGATTTTACTATCATATATGTAGTTTAATATGTTTTAACGTGATATTTTTCACACTCACTTGGCACGTTTGGTGGAGCAGGAACACTTATTCGCAGTCTCTTTCCTTCCGTGAGGCGTTCTGTGAGGAAATTTATCCATTTGAGCACTTATACTTCTATTGAAGAGCTAATTTGCCTAATAATCTCTTTTGACTAGTGTCCTCTCGTTCTACGCCGTCTAGTCTACGTGTGAAATATTTAAAAACCCTTTTTTATAACCTAATCAATGAAATTTACAGATAGTAATTTGTTTAGTTTGCTCAAAAGAAACTCGCTTATTTAACCTTTAACAGTGCTTTCACTATCCGCTCACCAGCCGAACTGGGGCAGCAAAACTGGAGCTGCCCAAAGCTAACGCCGCACGCTTGCATTTCGATGAGAGTTCCATCAACAGGACTGATGAGGGCTGGACAGTCCTCGAATAGCTTACACTCCCCCTTCTGCCCCGTCCTTGTTATGGTGCACGACAGGGAGGGGGAGTCCGATGACCCGGGGAACACCAAACCTTCAAACATAATTTCTCTCATTAACATCTTGACTTGCTAATAATTGTAACATGACTGTAAGTTGTGCGAGATTTTCGGAAGAAAACCGAGCATGAAATTTACAATATAGTCGTGACTTGTAATAAATCATATGATGACATCATCTTGAATCGTTGCGTTACTCCAATCATTGTAGTCTCCTCACTCGCACCATGGGTGCGCTTTTGTACATTCAACATCCTACACTAACTGGTGTAGTGCCTCCATGGGGCGCTCACCTTGGCCCACGGCGCCCCGGGTGTTCACCAACGCCGCCAGCAACAAGCACCACCGCCACATCCCAGCGGGATTCCCTGCGGTCTTCCACTGAAAGTTATAATCGGTTATATACTTCTCTTAGAATAGGGGCTCCATTAATTGTTTAAAATAATGCTGACATAATATCAAATAATGTTCTAGCTAAATTTTCAATGTTTTTTATCATTTTAATTTTATTTCTCAATCGGAGGGATGTCGATTCGGAAAAATGTTGCAACTTGAATTGGCTCAGCCCAAAGAAAACTTAGAAGCAGCAAAAATAATTTCTCTTGTAATTTTTACAATTATTTTTCTCATAACGATGGCGAACCCTTTTGATATATAAGACACAATTTCGTTGTTATCTTTCCCAATTCATATTACGTACTCATTGCACTAAAATAGCAACAAAACATAGTCTTGCGCAACACACAATGAACAACACAGTGAACAGAATAAAATCTCCTATTAATCACAAAAAACTTGGCTCGACGATTTCCTGACGGTCAGTGCATCACCTGCTCGTGCAAGTTGCGTGGCGGGATGTACAGTATTTTCCTCGGCGGGATGTATAGTATTTTTCTCGGCGGGATGTATAGTATTTTCCTCGGCGGGATGTATAGTATATTCCTCGGCGGGATGTATAGTATTTTCCTGGAGTCTCACTCGCTTCTTCTGTTGCAGTGTTTCTCAAATTGCGGTACGCGTTAGCCGTCGAGATACGCGAACGCTTTTGACCGATTTTCTCAGTTAGGATTTTTCACGAGTACTTTAGCAATGCCCTAATCAGTAGCGTATTGAGAAAAACAAAATGCTACTAATGTTACATATCATCAGCTAATATGTAGTAATTGTGGTACGCTAGACTATACGGGACCTTAAAGTGGTATGCGATCACATAAGTTTTGGGAATTCCTGTGCAACAAACGAACTGAATATTTGAAAGCTCATTTTGTAACTGAATTCTCGAATATCGATTATATTTCAAGAATTTTATACAAATTTGAACTTCGGGTGTCCCAGTAAATGTGCTGAGAAACAAATTATCTTTGAATACGAAGAATTACACATCGACCAACACGTGAAAGTTTGTCAAACTGAAACTTTTGGCTATGCTATGCTGCGTGAGTGGCGTTATCAACAGCAAGCGTTTCCAAGCGATTGCAATTTCCTTCTCTGTATTGCCAAACATCCTGTGTTTGCTTCCGATGCCGTGACATGTAACGCTTTAGAAACTTATGAAAATTAACTTTCAGAGTTTATATTGCAAAAATATGTCAACGGTGTTTTATTCTTGAAATAACCACGAAGTGTTGATAATTCCCATTTTATTCGAATTGCATAGACGTAAATAATGTCTCAGCATAATTAGTGTAATGTTGAGTGAAAAAAATCATTATCTTTTTACTGAGAAAAGTAATTTTAAAGCCTCCTCTTTTGCTAAAAAGATTCTGATAAATAAGATCTTAATCTAGTGAAGCATGTAGTAGGTATGTTCTATAGTTCAAGTATTCAACATAGATTTTTTTGTAGCGACCTTTTTATCTGCAGATATTTCCTTGGAGATGTTTTTAAATCAGCTCATGATTAAGTCACGGCATAGATAAAAAGCTAAAACGAGTATATTCTGTTATTCAAAGAAAGTGCATTCACAAAAAAAAAAGAGCAAAATACCTGCTCAAAATTAATCATTCTTCCTCTTCTTAATTTTTCCACATTAATTTACAACCTCTGCCTATTGAACTACGCATAACCTATTCACCAACCAAGGACTGCTATACCGTATTTGATGGACGCTTGGGAATTACCGGGCAAAGTAGATCCGTTGAGCAATCTCTGCCGGTGCTTGCCGCGCGCAAAGGCTGATAAGTGCCTATAGGACCTCTAAGCTCACAAGTCTGTCAAATGACTTTCTCCTAATGCTTAGTTGTGATGAAATGCAATAGTTTTCTCAAGCTAATTAATAGGTAACGTTACTCTTCTACTGTGACACTTAGGCAATCTCTCCCCGACCGAACTTAGTGGTAGCACTAATGATCACACCACAGCTTTATCGATCTAACTTCCCACTTTGACGTAAACACCACGCTAGTGCGGTGATCAAGATTCTTGCGCGGTCCAATAAGACATTTAATATTTCTAATATCTACATGAATACTCTGTGCTTCGTGCATTTGTTCGATAGCACCCGCATTCGCGGCTATCATTTATCATTTTGGGGGTGTATAATGACCAAATCACGGAAACAGTAGTGCAAGATGCGCATTAAAACGAACTTCTGAAAGTTTAATAAATACTCAACTTTTACTGATTTCGGTATTATTTAATTTTCTTTTTCACCTTGTAAATCACCTCATTACATTTTTTCATGAAGTTTTGAAAATTGTAAATGTCAGATAGAGTCTATCATTATCTAGGCACTGATTGAGTCGGCTTCTGAAGTTTCGAGAAGCTCATTCATAGATAACCAGTATATATTTTAGCAATCCGAACGTTTTTCTTTAACGATAAGTCAAATGCTGTGGATGACCTTTGTAAACGATAAACTTCAAATAACTCCACAGGGTGAAGTAGTATGCAGCAAAACCTGGAGAGCGCGCAGGCCAAAAAAATTCTTCTTTGGGGGACGAGACGGTCAGGGAAATTTGATCTCAAATACAACAACATGGAAGCCCAATCTGTGCAGATTGATGCTTTATAGTAGGTACCACCCACAATAAACGTCCATTTCGTCAAGATAGTTAAAGAAAATTCTAATATTCTCCCTGCGTTGAGCGAATTCACTAGCTAAGACCACGCAATTGTTAATATGAGGAATAATATGCGTTTAAAAATTACTTTTAACACTTCTAAAGAATCCAGTGTCTCCAATGTTACACATGTACAATGAATTTATAATTTTATTATAAAGTATTACAAAAACTAATTTTTTAATTTTATTTATTAAATAAAAATAAATAAATCTAACAAAATTATTTATTCTGTCAATTGATTCATGCATTGCCTCCGACTTTACGCAAATGTGGAAAATTTCACATCGATTGGACAGGTAGAAGTGTGTTGAATATCGATTATAAGATTTGTAGCAGACAGACAAACAAACAAACAAACAACAAGAAGTGAAGTTAAAGAGAAGTTTTGTAAAAAGTAGGACCAAAGATAATCAATGACGAAATCGCTCACCAAGCGAAAAACGCTCACGATAGAGATGGCTTTGAGGAAGTTTTCGTTGATATATATATTCAGCACTCTACAAAGATGTAGAAACTCAAAAGATGTAGAAGCGCATGTTCTGTTTGATGACAGACATGCAATTTTGCTCCTGCAATATTTTATTTTTTGCAGCTCATAATCTACGTTTTATCTCACCGACTACTGAAATCAGCGAATGAATCAAAATCTTGCCAGATATCGCTCTGCGAGAACTTGACATTTAGCAATAGACCATTGAACGATAGACTAAATATTCAACAATAAAATTCAATTGCCCAAGAAAAACTTCGACAGAGAACAAGTGGCGCTTTCTCGTCCAAAGCGGGAATACACTTGCGCTGACAACTTAAATATGTGAACAAATCACAAATTACCAATTTTGTTCATCACTGTAAAGGAACTCTTCAAGAAAGCCGAGGTACTCGTATCGAGATACTCGTATTTATTGTCACGATCATCTTTTAATTTCACTAATATAATTTCAATGTTCATTTTAAATGATCAACAAAATATAGATTTTTATATGAGAAAAATTATTATTTCATTATATTAATTGATATTATGAACGCGAATTTTATGAAACAATACTAGAGTTCTGATACAAGGCAGTATTTTCGGTGTTCAGTAATCGCCGAAAGCCTCTTTTTTAATCCACTGAAGGTAATCCGGGTTGGAGAGGGGCACGTACAGGCCTGGGAAGTCTTCAAGTCCACAGCCGCAGCCTTGGGACAACACGCCCACCTGCGTGAAGTCCCTGCCGTTGAATTGGGAGTATACCAAAGGACCGCCGGAGTCACCCTGCTCAACAATAGTAACTTCCTTATTACAATCAATAGGATTTAAAAGAGAGTCCCATTTCTTGAAGATTATAGAACCAAGGGCAACTGAATAGTGTTTCTCTAAAATATCATAATCTTACACTATAAAATGAGAGATAAGAATGTTATAGAAAATAAAATACTTTTTAACTGAGTGATCGACAGCATTCATAGTCAATTACAAGGAATAATAACATCCAAAGAAATGAGTGAGACTTTGTCCGAATAGTAATGCTCTTTTTGCCTCCGTGTGGATCATACTGACCCAGTTTGTCTTGGCAAAAAAGTGTGGTCGTGCTGTGAGTAAGACAATGTCACTATTTAGACAATACTACCCTTTCTTTTCTCTGAGTGAATAAAAAGTAATGTCCGAGTGATGGGAGTAATTATGATATCAATTTAGAGCTGAAGCAGAGCGAAAAATATAATAAAGAATTAATTAGTATTGTTGGTATTGTAGAAAGTGGTTAAACTGGTACCTGGCAGGGGCCCACGCCTGCGATGGGCAGTCCAGCACAAAGGAAAGTGTCCTCCGCGATGCCGCGCGGCCACCTGGTGGAGTAGAAAGGAAGCTTCGCGTAGGACGCGTCGCAGACCTCTGATGGGAACACCGTCACCGATGCCTCCTGCAGGATGGGACTGCCATCGCCTCCTGCAACGAGGACTCGAGGAGTGGTATATGTGTATTGTTGCCTCGAGTAGTTCATGTACGAAGTTTAACTCCTCATTTACCAACGGCGGCAATTAACTAGTTTATTCTGTTCATTTATACGTTCCTGCATGGTAAGTTTTGAGAAATATAACATAAATCTCTGAAAAGTTTTGATTTCTATAGCACACCAATAGTCATAGCTGCCAAATTCTACAGAAAGCTACAGAACGATGATTTAGTGGATGTATGATTCTGGTTTAGACCGTTACGATGCTAATTGTTTCGGCCCCCGAATACTGAATTTGCAAGGTTCCGTTAACAAAGAACTGATAAGAAGTTGCTGAAAATACGCTCTCTCTAAGAACGACTTCACGCTCGTGAAGTCGTTCTTAGTACTATAGGAGAAAGTTGGTTCAAGCAAAGTAACAAAAAAAAGTTCGTAGTCTCATCTGAAAATAACTCATCTTCTGGTCTTCCAGACCAAAAGACAAAACTTAGAAGAAATAAAAGAACTTGTGAGACGTGAAATTGGGCCACTCACTCCAGAAGTATAGTGCAATAGAACCAGTTATCTACATCGCACAGCCATTTTAACTATCAAAGCATAAATTTCATTCATACAGGTCGATTTAAAGCGAACACTACCGTGCTAGAACCGCATGATACTCAGCAAAGAGTGAAGCGGTTCGCCAAGTCTACGACTCACCGACGACTGTGGCGCCCCAGCCTGTGATGGTGGCGTTTTGGTGATGGAGGTTACGAAGAGCTTTTTCCCCCCACGGCAGACAAATAGGTATTACACCCTCCTGAGTTCCATTTTCGTAAATAAGATCCAACGTTTCTAAAATTAGTGGTAATTTTCAAACGAAATAAATTTTTAGCTTAGTTGCTTGTAATTTGTTCGGCTGGTCTTAAGACAGATTTCAAATTGGCACGATCGTCAAAAAATATCAAACAAAATAATGCCCCTATAGGTAAATAATTACGTTCTATTTAATTTGATGAAACATAATGAGGATGAACCGCAATAAAATTTGTTCTATATGAATCACGAGCCGCCACAGTCTTGTCAAAAGAGGTCACGACGCACCTTGAATTCGATGACCTCCGTCAATTTGATGAGCGCGAGGTCGTGGTAGGAGGAGAAGATACCATCTTCTTGGTAGCCGGGGTGAACCACCACGTCGGCAACCGTGTAGTCGGTGTGGTTGAAGCGTTCTTGGGTGTGGTTGTAGTTGTGCTCACCGAGACGCACCACGTCAGGTCGGCTGCAACCGATGAAACTTCAGTTTATTTAAGCAAACCATTCTGAATAGGATATGCATAATGGCCGCTAAACACTTTATAATAAATATTATATTGTGTGTAACGTCTTTTTTCGACAGTTTTGGGTATGCCACGACTGCATCTTAAGGTAATCTGCAATTCGAAATAATAATTGTGTAAAATAGGGAGCATAAATAAGAATTTAACTCTCGTTTAAAATATTTATAATAATAACTGACCCGATGTTGAGGCAATGCGCCGCTGTCAACACCCAGCGGTCGTTGATGAGGGAGCCACCGCAGTGCCAAGTGAGGGCTGCACTTCCCTGCTGACGCCTCCCCAGCAGCGCCTGCGTCAGTGGGTATTACCAGCGCTTGTTCGTTATCACCTTTGCCTGTTTGATATGCATCACCAGCATTTGTTAATGAATTTATCATACCTTCAGTTATTTTTTCTCGAAACTTCAATAGTCCAGCAATAGCTACACCCAGCATCTCATGTTCAGCATAACGCTCGTCTTTATAGCCCACCTTACATTATGCACAGTATAGGAGTAGAGAGTTAAATACAGACGAGGAAGGGAATAAACAAGGAATGCCAACTAACCAATAAATGCGAGGAGTAACGAGGATTAAGTCTTGAATATTGATGATTGCTGGCAGTGAAACAAGAAGTATAAGCGCCGTGTATCGTAAATAGCTCATTGCTATTGCAAAAGCAATAACAAGTATTGGAGGAGTAATAAGAGCTTGACAAACAAATAAATTTGTGTCAATACTTCTTTCAGCTTCTGCACAGGGAGCAAGTATTGCCACGATCATATTTACCGAAAACTTCTTTGGTTTGTTGTCATTTGTTTGTTTTCGTGTGCCTAAAAGTGTTGTTCACTTAACAATTTCTGTCAACAGAATTATTATGATTGACAAAGGTTATTCCTAATTCCTTTTTGAGGCTTTTTGCTTTGAGCAAAATTACTATCATTATTACATGAGAAAATTCTCTAATTTTGTCAATATTAATGATAAGCATTCTATCTGCAGCTAAAGAAGAAGTTGATTTCAGGCGGACAATTAGAAGGCAACCACTGGCGAAATCTAAGGACATTTTTAGTAAATCGGATATATAGGTAAGCGTAACATACCATCCACGGATGTCTGCTCACATGAGCGTTGAATCCCTCCACAATTCTTAAGACAAAGAACGAAGGTTCAGTGACAGTGAACGAAGATTTACTGTCTCCATGGGAGGAAAGTGCTTCCAGTGAAATCTCGCTCTGAAAAATATGCTGGGTTTTATTCCGATAATCATTCAAATAAGAGACACAACGTAGTGCTGAACTGATTTTTTCACTGCTAATCGGGTTGGAAAATTTTCCCAACCCGAGATTCCCACGTGGACGAAATTGAGGCAATAGAATACATCATGCTGAATATGACGGACCGATAAAGCACCATTCCGAAAACTGCACTCCAGGCGTTTTTCTAAAAATGTCAACAAAAATGTTTACATCACCAAGAATTCTATTTTGAACTTTCGGATTTCTAATTAAAAAAATGTGCTCATTCCGACCACAGGCTTAACAATTTTTGAACACGTGTCGTAGTCAAATTGTCATTAAGTCTTATTGATGCAACGAAATAATATCTGTATCTGAAAAAATGTGAGGCTCAAAAACTGACAGTGTTAAAAATTTTAAATTAAAATGGAATTAAATTAAAAATATATTTCGTTACTTAGGTTTCATATTAAAGATTGAATTGGTATGTCTCGAGATGTATTCTGGGTATTCGAGGGTATTCTGGGAAAGTGTAAAGCTCCAATTTCGGACGAGACGACTCTTTTGGTCTCGGCATCTTTCCGAATATACACTCAAAGTTGAAAGTTGTCCTGCTGTTGACTAATAATTTTTTTAATATTTTTTAATCGGGACAAATATTTTTGAATGATTTCTTCCCAAATAAAAAAGTATAATGAGGCGAAATGCCTAATTACGACCACATATCCATAATATAAACAATATCTGTAAGCCAAATACGAAAACAAATCCGCTTCCGTAAATCCTTTCATTGAAAATTCTGGGCCTTCTGAAAACAATCATCATCGCAGCACATAGATTCACTCAACCTAACCCAACGCTGGAAAAAATGACTTATACTTAAACAAACATAGAGAATAATCTACAGAACGGCACAAAATCCCTATTTCCTGCTAAAAGGCACAGCGCATTGGTCCCGCGGATCAAACTCACTCGTTTTGCCCCCACCTTCTTCACTGTACAAAGTGTACGTAAAGCACCATCAAACCTATATACACCATAACCACCTAAAATCCAATATAACTGGCCAGCCGCACATAGACGACAATTATCATGACACGTCATAACAATTGCATAAACAAAAACGTTTAAAAAAACAAAAATATATTACACCCCACAAATATATTCTCGAGCGACCCACACCCATCGTCATTGTCTGAATTTCTAAAAGAACATGCAGAGATAAAATTTAAACCCAAGTAAATGGAAAATTCATATTTCTTCTATTATCTTTGTTGAACTAAAAAATGTTAGTTATGTAAATATGAATGAATAATCACTAACCTCACTCCACATAAACCCATCCCTGACCCTGAAGAGATCCCTCTCTTTCACCCTTAAACTTTGACCCAGCCACCAGCACTCTTCACGACTCTAATCATGCCTATAGTGCCTACTTTGGTCTCCACGTGTCTGTTTATCACCTGCATTGTTTGGCCTTCATGTGCCACCACAAAGACAACAATGTAACAATTGATGTTGTAGCAAGCGGTCTGCAATGTAACAATTGTTGTTGTAGCAAGCGGTCTGGACCATTGCTATATGCGACCTGACAACCTGACTATATATCACTGTACATTACATGTAGTTGGTCGACATCCACATACACGCCACGTACTTTCCAGGGCGAGTTGTCCTCCTGTGCTACCTCTCTTCGGACGAAGTCGAAAGAAATTCTGCCTTGCATCAACGGACTAAGAACTCCGCAGTCTGCCGCACGTATCGGAGGACCATAGGAAATTGTTGTTTCGCTAATTAAGTTTATTTTATGCCATGTTAAAAAGGGGATCAATATACAACATTTACGGCGTGATGAATTTTTTGAGAAGCTTTTCAGTTGCAAGAGACAAATGCTTGTCGAAGATATTTCTAAAAGAGACCAATCAACGTCAAACTACCAGCGTAATTATTGTGACTGTTATTTAATTCATTTTTATCACAATTTAAAGTACCGGTGTTAATAAAAATATTTATTAAAATCGCAGAAGAACGATATAATGAAATTAAAAATGACACAGATCTAGTCTGCCCATGGAAGCCTGCCAGGTCGTACTATCATGCATAACAACGTTTTAACGTGATTATTCGCACTCACTAGGTTCATTGGACGGAGCAGGAACAGTTATTCTCCCTCTCTTTCCCTCCATGAGGCGATCTGCGAAAAAGTGTAAACATTTTAGTAGTATCAGAATTTTTAAACATTGAGTATCAGAATTATAATCATACATTTATTTGCCATCTCCTTTAATCGTTAAAACTACTTTTAATAGTGAACTAATTTACCATATATCGGTTTTTGAGTAGGGTACTATCGTTCGACGCTGCCTATAGTCTGCGCTGTACAACACGTAAAAATCCTAAATTTTTATAATAATATTAATAAATATAATATAAATTGGTTAATTTTTTCGCACAAATATAGCTCCAGGCGTTAAATCTTCCACATGCAGTACTACATTAACGTTTTAGTAGTATCAGAATTTTTAAACATTGAGTATCAGAATTATAATCATACATTTATTTGCCATCTCCTTTAATCGTTAAAACTACTTCTAGAAGTGAACTAATCTACCATATATCGGTTTTTGAGAAGGGTTCTATCGTTCGACGCTGCCTAGTCTGCGCTGTAAAACACGTAAAAATCCTAAATTTTAGTAATAACCTAATAAATATAATATAAATTAGTTAATTTTTTCGCACAAATCGAGCTCCAGGCGTTAAATCTTCCACATGCAGTACTACTTCTACACGCAACTTACCATTCGACATGGGGCAGCAAACCAAGGGCAGTTCGCTGCTGACGCCGCACACGTGACTGACGGCCCCCTCGCCTGCCGCTCGCTGGTGGGAGGGGCAGTGAGTGGACAGCTTACACTCCCCCTTCTGCCCCGTCCTTGTTATGGTGCACGACAGGGAGGGGGAGTCCGATGACCCGGGGAACACCAAACCTTCAACCATAATTGTTCTTAATTAGTGCCATTCACATTTTGATATTTTTGACTTGAGTGGTTATGATTTTTAGGTCTTAGGATAATTTTAATTTAAATGGAATCCGGACATATTTATGTCTTGTATTAGTTTGCAAGACACCATCATCTCCAATCGCAAAGTTATTTCAATCTTGTAATCTCGTCATCCCTCACCATGGGTACACACTCCTTCGTATTTACAACACCCTACACTAAATGAATGTACCTCTGTAGGGCGCTGCTCACCTTGGCCCACGGTGCCCCAGACGTTCACCAACGCCGTTAGCAACAAGCACCACCGCCACATCCTAGCGGGACTCCCTGCGGTCTTCCACTGACAGGTAACATCAATAATTCTATTCTGTTCTGTTAAAAGTGAATGCTAGTACTTCTATACTTTTTGGGCCTACATCAAATAATTGTGGCACACGATGACTATATACGGGACAACCAAGTGGTATGCGATCACATAAATTGTTGCGAATCCTTGCTCAGCTAACGGACTAAATTCTTGAAAGCACCCATTGACAAATTCTTGAATTTCAATTAAATTTCAAGAATTTTTTACAAATTTAAATATCGAGTATGCAATAAGTGATTAAGAACCAAGTTATCCTTGAATGTAACGCAAATAATTGACCAACAAGCAACGGATGAAAGTTTACCAAAGTATACGCTCTGCTACGTGTGAGCGGTCTTAACAACAGCAAGCGTTTCCAAATGATAGCAATTTCCTTCTCTTGCCAAACATCCTGTGTTTGCGTTCGATGCCATGACATGTATCGCTTTGGAAACTAAATGAAAATTAACTGTCTTGATTTTTATAATATAAATAAGTAAACAGTGCTTTCTTCGTGAAATACCTTGAATTGTTGATAATTCGCATTTTATACGAATTGCTGATACATAATTCAGCATGTTCTCGAATAATGTTGAGTGAGAATAAATACAAATCTTTGGACTGCCGGAGGTCATTTTTATGCCTCCTATTCAGCAAAAACGGTTCTGCTAAATAGCATCTGTTTCATGGTAGTTTATTCAACATTTCATTTATTTGTATTGCATCGCATTTGGTTTTTGTATATATTTCCTAGGAGATGTTTTAAAATCCTCCAATCATTAAGTCACAGCAACGATAAAAAGTTATTCAAAGAAAGTCCACTCACGAAGCAGAGCTAAAGAAATAGCTGCAAAATTGATCACTCATCCTCTTCCTAATTTATCCATATTAATAAACAATTTCTACCTGATAAACTAAGCACAACCTCATCACCATCCACGGATTTCCTATTGTACTTGACGTGCACTGAGAATTACCGGGCTAAGGAAATCCGTTGAGCAATCTCTGCCTGTGCTTGCCGGGCGCAAATGTTGATAATAACAATAATAATAATAATAATAATAATAATTATAATAATAACAATAATAATAATATTAATAACAATAATAATAATAATATTATTATCAAATTGTACTTGACGTGCACTGAGAATTACCGGGCTAAGGAAATCCGTTGAGCAATCTCTGCCTGTGCTTGCCGGGCGCAAATGTTGATAATAACAACAATAATAATAATAATAATAATAATTATAATAATAACAATAATAATAATATTAATAACAATAATAATAATAATATTATTATCATTATTAATAGCGGTTTCAGCGAATAGTAAGCCGTAGGCCTTTCGCCAATTCTTTGCATCGCAAAACATTCACATTTTGCGGTCTCGTACTCGCAACTCACTGCTACAATTCTGCTGTGCTTAATTAACCGCCCGGCCTCCTTGCCGATTCTGACAAGAAACTGGCGCACAGAGCTGGGATCGAACCCTCTCTACTCCAATCTTGGTGCTCTGAACTTTAACCACCGAGCCACCAGTAGCCAGTACTGAATGCAGTAGCCAGACATCTCTTCACAAGAGATCCTTCGTCATTGACGCATTGCATCATTTACGTATTTCATTCTTATAGCAATTCGTCATTTACGCATTTCATCCATACAGCAATTCTTCATTTACGCATTTCATCCTTAAAGCAATTCATCATTGACACCTATGAGTGTCTATATAACCTATGAGTTCCTATACCGATGAGGACCTCTGAGCTCACAAGTCCTTACGAAATGGCGTACTCCTGATTTTCAGTTGTAATGAAATGCAGAGATTGGCTCAATTGTACTTATAGACAATGTTTATGCTCTGTTATGAAACTTATGCAATCTCTACCGAACTGAACTTGGTGATAGCACCGATGATCGCACCACAGATTTAGCGATCTATATACCTAAAGTTCAACTTCGAAGTCAACGTCGCGCTCAGTGTTCAGGATATTTGAGGCCCAAAAAGACAGATTTGTAGTTTCAAATATCTACAAGAATACTTAAGACTACAAAAATACTATGTTCTTTATGTATGTGTTCGATAGCACCTGTATTCGCGGCGGCCATTTTATCATAAACATTCTGGGGATGTAGAATGCAAAAATCACGGCAACAATAGTACAAGGTGCGGCAAAGAGACGAACTTTTAAAGGTTTAATAGATACTAAACGTTTGCAGATGTCGTTATGATTTAATTTTTACCTCTTTATATTTTTTCGCAAAATTTTAGAAATTGTAAATGTCAGATAACGTCCATCATTATCTGAGCCCCGGTTGTGTCGGTTTCTGAAGTTTCAAGACTCTCAAGCATGTCTTACAGATATTTAAACGATCCGAATGCTTTTCTTTAACGATTAATCATATGCTGTGGACGCTCGTTGTAAACGATAACGTTCAATTAACTCCATATGCAGGCCAAAGTTGCATAGATAGTGCGCAGGCCAAAGAAGTTCGCCTCACAGAGGTGAGACGGCCAGGGAAATGATTCATGTAGAATTTCATCGAGGCCAGGCCAGTGTGGACTGTAGCTCTAGTAGATACCACCAATTCCTTACGTCCAACTCGTTAAGCTGTTCAGTGCCAAATTCCCCGTTTATCTTATTGCATTGAGCTAATTCCCTGTGACAACGCACGCGTTTAAACGAGTGAAAAGTACTATGAAAGACAATCAATGACGAAATTGCGCACCGAGTGGAAAACGCTCACAATATAGAGGGTTTTGGTGAAGTTTTCCTGGATATTCAGCACCTCTAGAAGCGCAAGTTCTAATTAATTGTTGGGGACTATTCAATAGATAAGAAAACAAAACCTTCGGTTTCCCCAAACACTTGATGAATAACTATATAATAATAAACAAATGAGAGATACGAGAATAAAAATAAATACAAGAATATAACCGTGTGTTCTCGTTGCTCTTGTTCTTACTTCGGACTCAATATTCGGAGCCTTTCTGTAATGTAAAAACAAACCTAATTCATCACTAATCAACTACACACTGAATACGGAACCACCACTGAATACGGAAAGATGAATAAAAAATTCTATAAATTTAGGATAAATTTAAGCAATGCTAAATTTACACGAACAGAATAATAAAAAATATTATCAGAACAAATGCAACCTCGTAGCTCCGTTCTGGATCGAGCAAGAATGACAACTAAGGAACCATTCATGGATGAAGTCATATCGGTGATGATTCTAAAATTCAAATGACAAATTGCACGAGTCCTATTGCAATCCCTTACATAATGACAGCCTTGCAATTTTGCTCTTGCTACAGCTGATAATCTGCGTTTTAACTCACTGCTGAAATGCGGTAATCAGCAAAAGAATCATATCCTTTGTGCCGCCTACTTCGAGGATAATAAATCTTCTCCCGTAGGTGGAGTAACAGCCTCCAGGATTTGGGGTATATATTTGTTAAAACTGCAAGGAACCAGAAAACACGAGTCAATTCTAAAAGCTACGTTTCCCTTCTATTATATCAATATTCACAAGCACGGTCGCTTAATATAGAAATGAACAAAGCAATAACACATTGTCACTTCCTTTAAAATTTACGACAATGCTGCTTCGGGGCTAGTTCAGCGTCGACTAATTTATTTGCAAAAGCACCCGACAACGCATAAAAGGATGTTGCCACTAGCAGGGACATAAAAATTTCTCTGAATAAGTAATCTCGTGTTTCACACGAGACATCCTTGGATGGCACTATACGAGAATAACACTGAACATTGAATGATGGAAATTCAATTACCAAAGAAAATCTTTGACGGAAAACAAGCGACCCTTTTTCATCCAGTACGGGAGTACGCTTACGACGAAAACTTAATTAACTTCACATAATTCACTAATGTACGTTCAATATTCATGTTACATGATCAACAAAATATGGATCTTTCTATGAGAGAAACATTAATATTTAATTATGTTAATAAATATTATGAACATGAACTTTTTGAAACAAAAATAGAGTTCTGATACATGACAGTATTTTCGTTGCTCAATCTTCGCCGAAGGCCACCTCTTTAATCCACCTAAGGTAGTCCGGGTTCGAGAGAGGCACGTACAAGCCTGGGAAGTCTTCAAGTCCACAGCCATAGCCCGTGGACACAACGCCCACCTGCGTGTAGTCATGATTGTTGGTTGGGGAGTATACCAGAGGACCGCCGGAGTCACCCTGCTCAACGATCGTAACTTCTTTATTACGACCAACAGCAGGTATAAGAAAGAAGAAAATCAAGAGCAACTGAATAGTTTATCTATAAGAGACATTAATTGAAGGTATAAATAAACAATTTATAGTGAATAACTACTTTTTAAGTTAACTTCATCATCATAGTCTACTACGAGAAATAACAGTGGAGGTTGAAGTCGGAGTGGTGTCATCAAAAGTGAAATCAGTTTTCAGTTGGAATAAAATGAACCTATTTTAGACGCCATTCAAACTAGTCAGCGCCTTACAAAACCGAATAGATGAAGAAATAATTTGTGTTGGAGTAAGCACCTGGCAAGTGTCGATTCCGCCGCTGGAGTTTCCGGCGCACAAGAAAGTGTCCTCCACGATGCCGCGCGGCCACTTGGTGGAGTAGAAAGGAAGCTGCGAGTAGGACGCGTCGCAGACCTCTGATGGGAACACCGTCACCGATGCCTCCTGCAGGATGGGACTGCCATCGCCTCCTGCGACGAGGAATGTTGATTAATAGCGAATGCCTCTTGCTGCTTCTTGCTGCTGAAAAATAGCTCACTACTAATTTATTTTGTGTTAGGTAACTGCAACGATCAGCGCGTGCGAGCTGTAAAAGGCCTGTGAATCAAGTGAAGTGTTAATAGTAAATGCAAATTATTTCTAAGAGGTGTTAATAAACATTGTTGCACTCTTTTAGCTACCAACGGCGGACAACTCGCTAGTTTATTTGAAGGGTACATGTCACTATACAATACATGCAAGTATGTGAAAGCTGTCAAGTATATATCAACTTCCAAAAACTCAATGAAAAATCACTCTATAAATTATTAATTATTATTAACATTGAAAATTTCTGAACAATATAGCACATCAGTGTTCATAGTTGCCAATTTCTACAGAAGGCATCAGGTCGATCCCGGTTAAGTGGGTGTATGATTTTGCTTGAGACAGTTACGATGCTGGGGCCATACTTTCAAAACTGGCTAAGTGAACGTAATTACTTACGCTCATTTTTCTTGTCTATGATTGGTGATTTTGCTTGAATGGCCGTCAATGATTGGCTGAGGAACTTACGATCTCTTAATTTTTTTAACCCTGATTATCGCGTCCCTGAACGCTATATCTTTAAGATTCCGGGATTAAATACGTGTAAATAAGTAGCTGAATAGGCGCCCATGAAGTCATTCTCAGTACCACAGAAGAGAGCCAATTCAGGCAAAGAAACAGAAACGATTTATTTTGAATTTCTCTCAAGATTGTAGATGAAACTCAACAAAAATTAAAAGACTTTGTGAACCGTCAGAGACCTTAGGTAATGCAAGTAGACATGAGATATACAACGCATTGCAAGTCCATCTATGAATGTATAACTTTCTCGCAAAATCCTTCCCTCTCGAGTGAACTATACTGTTGTAGAGCTTCACGATACTCAGGTAGAGTGGGAGAGTCGCACTATACTCAGTTGCACTCAGACTGCAGAGGCAAGTTCGGTAGACAACTCACCGTAGACTTTGGCTCCCCAGCCGGTGATGGTAACGGTTTTGTTGTAGAGGTTACGTCGAGCTTCAGCCCCCCAAGGCAGACAAATGGGTAAAACGCCCTCCTGAAGAAAGTTCCATTTGCATGCATAAGCTCTAATTTCTCAGAAAAGCGTTGCAATTTTCAAACAGACAGTGCGTATAGTCAGTCGTCGCGTTTTTAAGTAGAGCGCATTTAAGTCAGTTTTTCAGGCTTGGAAGTTGCATGGCCATGAAAACAAAATGTTGGACAATGCTTCGGCGTGTAAAATTCTCAGACGAAAAATATTATTGCCATATAATTTAAAGTCAAGGATGATGCTGACAAAATTGACCGTAATGTTTTTGGAAACGTTTCGTAGAACAGCTCTCTCGTTAGTTCACAACCTAAAAAAAATTAAGTACAGTATGATCAAATAGTATAACAACATTTCTACGGTAGAGATTGAAAAATATGTTGAACAACAAAGTACGAAGCAACGTAAAACCTAAAACTTGGCCAACGGATGTTCATATATGCCATGTAAATTTAACCGTAAAAATTGTTTATATTTATGCAACTGAATTTTTAATAGATGATGGGGCTGGTCTCTACTGAACTTTTTAAATGAAAATATAGTGACTTTTCGCCCAATTTTTGTTCTCAGATTCTTGGCATGCGATTTAAGCAATCCAATAATCATAATATAACACAAAGTGATTTTCAAAATGTTTGGAGAGAGATTAGTAGTGCAGTGGCTTTCAAACTTTTTCCATCACTCTTCATAATAAGTCAGTCTGAATTTTTCGGCCCCACTTGTCTTTGAAGCGTCAACAATAATATTAATATAAATTATTTTAACCTCCATCAACCCACACAAACTAGCATATACTCTTCACAACGAATCGAGTCAATAATATCAAATAAATATAACAAGGTTCAGAAAGTGAAAATAACAACACGGTTATGGCCTCATTGTTAGAAGAATATTCTAGAATAAAAGTTAACACCAATAAATAACCGCGGCATTTCCATCACAATGCTTGGATATTTTGAAAGTCATAACTTTTCAGCGCATTAGTGGCTGCAGTGAGCCTGCTTTGCACAATACAACTTTTCAAATCTGGCTTGCTGCCTCCAAGCAGACGCTCTTAAATCGATGTTAAGCTGGGACTTGTATTTTGGTTTTAGAGTCGCCTCAGCTGTGAAGCCTGTCTGGCAGAAATACGATGTGCCAAACGGCGCACTCCCTATTTTTCTATTATGAATTATATTTGTCTAATAATTAGTTTCTAATTCCTATTTACTATCATATTCTGCTTTCTATAAACAGAATGAGGACGAACGGCGATGGAATTTGCGCTACATGAATTTATGAGCAGCCTCAGGCCTGCCACCAGTCGCCACGCACCCTGAATTAAAACAGAGTTGCTGGTAGAGGCGGGACGTAAACAGAGTTGCTGGTAGAGGCGGGACGTAAACAGAGTTGCTGGTAAGAGTTGCTTGGCGTAACCTCATAAGAAATAGTAACATGGGGTGAAATCAGGTGATCTCGGTGGCCATAAGTGTAGAGCCTGATCTTCATTTCCAATGCGTCCTTGGCAACGCTCAGGAAGTGACTGGTTCAAAAGGTTTATTAATATTAATAAATATAAATATTTATAAATATAAATATTTATAAATATCAATAAATATTAATAAATAAGTTTAAACAAAAGGTTAAAAAATATAGAACATGTTAAAAAATTAAATCTTTCTCTTTCCATTCGCGTATAAATTATTCATTTTAAATTGATACTGAAGCGAATACGAAGTTATTAAATTGGGTCTGTCATTTAGAATAACCCTGCACTACTATTATTCTAGGAGGAAATTTAATCAATTTTTTTGGCGGGCAGATGAGATGTGTCGAAAGTTATCACTGGCGAGTCCGGTTAAATTGCGGAAATTTTTTCCATACACTTCTATTTAACTTCACTTCTTAATTGTCGTTTGTCTGTTTACTTCATATCTTTTAATCAATATTTAACGCATTGCTACCTGTCCAATCGATCTGAAATTTTGCAAACATGCGTTAAGTCGAAGACAATCCATAAATCAATTGAAAAAAAAATAAAAAATTAATATTAAAATAAATAAAGTATTTAAAAATAAATTAAGAAATTCATTGTACATGTGTAACATCGAAGACACCGGCCTCCTTAGAAGATTGGTCTTTAAAAAGTATTTTATATTAGTATATAAATATTATATTAATTAGTAAATGAGCATATTAATTAGTAAATGAGATGTCAGGCAAGCGTATCTTGTATACTAATAACTCTCGAAAGTAAGGTGTGTATAAAATGCATGACCTTACTTACCATCCACGGATGTCTGCTCTCACGGGCGTTGCGTCCTCCGACTATCCAATCCTCAGGCGGAGGTTCAATGTAATCGTAGGGAAGAGCTTCAAGTGACCTCTTCCTTTTCTGAAAAATATGCATGATTTTACTCAGAGAATCTAATGTAAAAGCATGATAAAGTGTTTAAGAAAATTTTCACAGCTAACGTGGTTGAGAACATTCCCCAACCCGAGAACGCAACTGTGACGAATTTGAGGCAAAAGAAAACATCGTGCGGAGTGTGACAGTCCGACTGAGCCCCATTCTAAAACAATACCAAAAATATATGATGTATTGGCATAATTTAGTACATCAGCAAGAATTTTGCTTTGTAGGCGACTCCAGTTTCGGACTGTAGGAATCTTAGCTTAATATTCAAGAGTACATCGGGAAACAGAGGGAGAATAAGAACAATAGTAACCAATGTGTAGAACGTAGAATAAGTTGAGGTGTTGACGATCCGGTAGCAGCGTACGAATTCAGAGCAGACTTGTTGTGGGACAAAAGCAAGAACTAGTTTATGAATTCAGACAACTGCAGAGGTATGTGTGGTGTTCTAGACATTGTGGAGACATTCTACTGTCGATATTAATCAACATTGTATTTATTAGCTCTTTGTTGATACTATCTGAGATACCTAGTAGGGAAATTATTCAACTGATTGTAAATTTGATTTTGTTCATGTAGGGAGAAGTCAACCCGGATAGAAGATCACAGGAAGCTGGTATTTCTAGAAGATTCAGTGTTGATGCATATCGAAATCTACTACTGTGTTGTGAGGAACAACATCTACTGTGCTGTGCCCTGGCATATGAAAGAAGAAACAGTTTTGTGCCCTGTAAGTAACTATGCTCATATGTTCACGTTAACTTTGTTCAATGTTCGTAATTTAAGCGTTCACTTTTCATTAAAATTAAAGTAATTGTGTTAATCGGGAGACCTTTATGGAACCCTGGTACGAAAGATCATTACACGGACATATCAATAAATATGCTCAATTGCTGATGCCGGCCCGAGGCTCGATGCTTTTGAACACGTTGTCAGTCTAATTGCTGCAATGAAATAATAGCGATAACTGATTTTTTTGTGAAGAGCAAAAACTGACAAAAGGTTTAAAAATTTAAATAAAAAAGTTCTTAAGTATGTAATTTCATTCACATTAAGGAAAGAACTAGTTTGTCTCGTTATGTATTTTCAGGTCCAGTTAAAAAAAATTGTTAAGCTCCAATTTCGTCCAGGACTTCTCTGTTTTTTTTTTTTTTGACAATAAACTAAAAGCTTACAAATTGACTGGATTTTTGTCTAATCAAAAAATTTGCTTATTTCTCAATTTTCTAATTGGGGTAAATATTTTAAAATCTTATCGTTCCGAATAAAAAATATATAAATAGACGCAAATGCTTACGACAACATATACTCTTCATAACCTTTATATCTGCATACCAGAATCTAATTCAGAACCGCACCCGTAAATCCTTTCGTGGAGAATTCTGGGCCTTCTACAAATAAACACTATCGCTGCACACAGCACTCAAGCTCCCCGATCCAACACAAGAATAAATAGGCACATTTAAACAAATAGACTACATCAACAGAACGGCCCTGAATATCAAATTCCGGCTACTTAAATACACCTTATATTGTTACCGGTAACAATCTCACTCATTCACTATGCCCCCACTTATACGGCTCTGAATACATAGCCACCAGCCCCTACACACCAGCACATACAAAACAGGTCATGGCACATCATCACGGCAACAGGTTATGGAGCATTTAGATTCTAGGCGAATGTTTCCATAAAACGTCGTAGCTATTGCCTAAACAAAAACAGTCAAAATACGAACATATTCCATCCTTCAAATCTCGAGAACGATCCACACTATCGATGTTGCGGGACGCAGTGTAATAGTGTTTCATTACCAGTTTTTAACTTAGGTTTTGAGTCAACGCTTACTTGACCTCTTACAGACATGCTATGTGCTTCTTCATTGCTCTATGATCCTACGTTCTTTTATTTTGTCTGTTCATTTTGTGATAATCTATGTCGATTTAGTTATATTTTTCATTGGCTATCTGGAATAGTATTATTTTTTAGTCAATTATTTTTTGTCAAGCTATTCTTCTATATTTTTAAGTTTAATGGTAACTTTATTTTTAACTTAAGTTCTCAAGTTATTCTTCTTTATTGTTATTTTCTTTTTTATTAAGTTTAGAACATTACAAGCCCTTAATTGTGTTTGTGTATCTATTTGCAGAAAGCCTATGAAGCCGACACTAAATCACAGTTTAATAGACAAGGGTTCGGGGTTATTTTTATTTATTTGCATTTTTTCTTTGTTTATTGCTTTATATTTTTTATCATTTGTATTCATCTTTAGTGTAATAGTTGGCCGTACAAAAACGCAGGCCGAGTTGGTACGTTCCGGTGACCACACCATCGTCATCATTATTAATTCTAAAAATATAAGTAAGGAAAAAATGAAAAGCATGTTAATAGAAATTACACATTATCATTTTTCATCTTGATATCACTGTGAAATGTTAATCGTGCATGTAGATATGAACCATCATTATACTCAGCCCGTGCAAACCTATCGCAGTCCCGACGAGATCGCCATCCTTTCCTTCTCAAACTTTAAACCAACCTAAAGCATCCTTCGCAATCAACAATGTGAAGCATCCTTCACAATCGTGCGCATAGTGCGTATTGTTGGCTCCACCTACCTTTGTATCAACTTCTATCTTTT